TGCTAGGCCCTTGTTCTTGCAATTTTGCATGCTCTAGGCCCTTGTTCTTGCAATTTTGCACACGCTAGGCCCTTGTTCTAGCAATTTTGCACACGGTAGGCCCTTGTTCTTGCAATTTTGCATACGCTAGGCCCTAGTTCTTGCAATTTTGCACACGCTAGGCCCTTGTTCTTGCAATTTTGCTCACGCTAGGCCCTTGTTCTTGCAATTTTGCACATGCTAGGCCCTTGTTCTTGCAATTTTGCACACGCTAGGCCCTTGTTCTTGCAATTTTGCTCACGCTAGGCCCTTATTCTTGCAATTTTGCACACGCTAGGCCCTTGTTCTAGCAATTTTGCACACGCTAGGCCCTTGTCCTTGCAATTTTGCATACGCTAGGCCCTAATTCTTGCAATTTTGCACACGCTAGGCCCTTGTTCTAGCAATTTTGCACACGCTAGGCCCTTGTTCTTGCAATTTTGCATACGCTAGGCCCTAATTCTTGCAATTTTGCACACGCTAGGCCTTTGTTCTTCCAATTTTGCTCATGCTAGGCCCGTGTTCTTGCAATTTTGCACACGCTAGGCCCTTGTTCTTGCAATTTTGCATACGCTAGCCCCTTGTTCTTGAAATTATGCACACCCTAGGACCTTATTCTTGCTATTCTGCACACGCCAGGCCTTGTTCTTGAAATTCTGCACATGCTAGGTCCTTGTTCTTGAAATTCTGCACACGCTAGGCCCTTGTTCTTGAAATTTTGCACGTGCTAGGCCCTTGTTCTTGAAATTTTGCACACGCTAGGCCCTTGTTCTCGCAATTTTGCACACGCTAGGCCTTTGTTCTTGCAATTTCGCACACGTTAGGCCCTTGTTCTTGCAATTTTGCACGCGCCAGGCCCTTGTTCTTGCAATTTTGCACACACTAGGCCCTTGTTCTTGCATATTTACGCACGCTAGGCCCTTGTTCTTACAATTTTGCATACGCTAGGCCCTTTTTCTTGCAATTTTGCACACGCTAGGCCCTTGTTATTGCAATTTTGCACTCGCTAGGCCCTTGTTCTGGCATTTTTGCACACGCTAGGCCCTTAATCTGGCAATTTTGCACACGCTAGGCCCTTGTTCTTGCAATTTTGCACATGCTAGGCCCTTGTTCTTGCGATTTTGCAAACGCTAGGCCCTTGTTTTAGCAATTTTGCATACGCTAGGCCCTTGTTCTTGCAATTTTGCACACGCTAGGCCCTTGTTCTTGCAATTTCGCACACGCTAGGCCCTTGTTTTTGCAATTTTGCACATGCTAGGCCCTTGTTCTTGCAATTTTGCACTCGCAAGGCCCTTGTTCTGGCTGTTTTGCACACGCTAGGCCCTTCTTCTGGCAATTTTGCACACGCTAAGCCCTTGTTCTTGCAATTTTGCACACGATAGGGCCTGGTTCTTGCAGTTTTGCACTCGCTAGGCCCTTGTTCTGGCAATATTGCACACGCTAGGCCCTTGTTCTGGAAATTTTGCACACACTAGCCTCTTGTTCTTGCAATTTTGCACACGTTAGGCCCTTGCTCTTGCAGTTTTGCACTCGCTAGGCCCTTCTTCTGGCAATTTTGCACACGCTAGGCCCTTGTTCTGGCAATTTTGCACATGCTAGGCCCTTGTTCTTGTAATTTAGCACATGCAGGGCCCTTGTTCTTGCAATTTTGCACACGCTAGGCCCTTGTTCTTGCAATTTTGCGCACGCTGGGCCCTTTTTCTTGCAATTTTGCACTCACTAGGCCCTTGATCTTGCAATTTTGCACTCGCTAGGCCCTTGTTCTTGAAATTTTGCACTCACCAGGCCCTTGTTCTTGCAATTTTGCACTCGCTAAACACTTGTTCTTGCAATTTTCCACTTGCTAGACACTTGTTCTTACTCTTTTGCACTCAATAGGCCATTGTTCTTGCAATTTTGCACTCGCTAGGCCCTTGTTCTTGCAATTTTTCACTCGCTAGACACTTGTTCTTGCAATTTTTCACTCGCTAGGCCCTTGTTCTTGCAATTTTGCTCTCACTAGGCCCTTATTCTTGCAATTTTGCACTCTCAAGGCCTTTGTTCTTGCAATTTTGCACTCGCTAGACACTTGTTCTTGCAATTTTGCACTCGCTATACACTCTTTCTTGCAGTTTTGCACTCGCTAGGCACTTGTTCTTGCAATTTAGCACTCGCTACACCCTTGTTCTTGCAATTGTGCACTCGCTAGACACTTGTTCTTGCAATTTAGCACTCGCTAGACCCTTGTTCTTGCACTTTTTGCACTCACTAGGCCTTGTTCTTGCAATTTTGCACTCGCTAGACACTTATTCTTGCAATTTTGCACTCGCTTGACACTTGTTCTTGCAATTTTGCACTCGCTAAACACTTGTTCTTGCAATTTTGCACATGCTAGGCCCTTGTTCCTGCAATTTTGCACACGCTAGGCCCTTGTTCTGGCAATTTTGCACACGCTAGGCCCTTGTTCTTGCAATTTTGCACATGCTAGGCCCTTGCTCTTGCAATTTTGCTCACGCTAGGCCCTTGTTCTTGCAATTTTGCACACGCTAGGCCCTTGTTCTAGCAATTTTGCACACGGTAGGCCCTTGTTCTTGCAATTTTGCATACGCTAGGCCCTAATTCTTGCAATTTTGCACACGCTAGGCCCTTGTTCTTGCAATTTTGCACACGATAGGCCCTTGTTCTTGCAATTTTGCACTCGTGAGGCCCTTGTTCTGGCAGTTTTGCACACGCAAGGCCCTTCTTCTCGCAATTTTGCACACGCTAAGCCCTTGTTCTTGCAATTTTGCACACGATAGGCCCTTGTTCTTGCAGTTTTGCACTCGCTAGGCCCTTGTTCTGGCAATTTTGCACACGCTAGGCCCTTGTTCTGGCAATTTTGCACACACTAGGCTCTTGTTCTTGCAATTTTGCAAACGATACGCCCTTGTTATTGCAGTTTTGCACTCGCTAGGCCCTTGTTCTGGCAATTTTGCACACGCTAGGCCCTTGTTCTGGCAATTTTGCGCATGCTAGGCCCTTGTCCTCGCAATTTTGCACACGCTAGGCCTTTGTTCTTGCAATTTTGCGCACGTTGGGCCCTATTTCTTGCATTTTTGCACTCACTAGGCCCTTGATCTTGCAATTTTGCACTCGCTAGGCCCTTGTTCTTCAAATTTTGCACTCACCAGGCCCTTGTTGTTGCAATTTTGCACTCGCTAAACACTTGTTCTTGCAATTTTCCACTCGCTAGACACTTGTTCTTGTTCTTTTGCACTCAATAGGCCCTTGTTCTTGCAATTTTGCACTCGCTAGGCCCTTGTTCTTGCAATTTTGCACTCGCTAGACACTTGTTCTTGCAATTTTTCACTCGCTAGGCCCTTGTTCTTGCAATTTTGCTCTCACTAGGCCCTTGTTCTTGCAATTTTGCACTCTCAAGGCCTTTGTTCTTGCAATTTTGCACTCGCTAGATACTTGTTCTTGCAATTTTGCACTCGCTATACACTATTTCTTGCAGTTTTGCACTCGCTAGGCACATGTTCTTGCAATTTAGCACTCGCTACACCCTTGTTCTTGCAATTGTGTACTCGCTAGACACTTGTTCCTGCAATTTAGCACTCGCTAGACCCTTGTTGTTGCAATTTTTGCACTCACTAGGCCCTTGTTCTTGCAATTTTGCACTCGCTAGACACTTATTCTTGCAATTTTGCACTCGCTTGACACTTGTTCTTGCAATTTTGCACTCGCTAGACACTTGTTCTTGCAATTTTGCACTCACTGGACTCTTGTTCTTGCAATTTTGCACTCGCTAGACACTTGTTCTTGGAGTTTTGCACTCGCTAGACACTTGTTCTTGAAATTTTGCACTCACTAGATACTTGTTCTTGCAATTTTGCAGTGGCTAGGCCCTTGTTCTTGTAATTTTGCACTCGCTAGACACTTTTTCTTGCAATTTTGCACTACCTAGGCACTTGTTCTTGCAATTTTGCACTCGCTAGACACTTGTTCTTGCAATTTTGCACTCGCTAGAGACTTGTTCTTGGAGTTTTGCACTCGCTAGACACTTGTTCTTGAAAGTTTGCACTCACTAGATACTTGTTCTTGCAATTTAGCAGTCGCTAGGCCCTTGTTCTTGCAATTTTGCACTCGCTAGACACTTTTTCTTGCAATTTTGCACTACCTAGGCACTTGTTCTTGCAATTTTGCACTCGCTAGACACTTGTTCTTGCAATTTTGCACTCGCTAGACACTTGTTCTTGGAGTTTTGCACTCGCTAGACACTTGTTCTTGAAATTTTGCATTCACTAGATACTTGTTCTTGCAATTTAGCAGTCGCTAGGCCCTTGTTCTTGCAATTTTGCACTCGCTAGACACTTTTTCTTGCAATTTTGCACTAGCTAGGCACTTGTTCTTGCAATTTTGCACTCGCTAGACACTTGTTCTTGCAATTTTGCACTCACCCCGCCCCATTCTCCCTCCTTCCATCACCCCACCCTATTCTCCCTCCTTCCATCACCCCGCTCCATTCTCCGTCCTTCCATCACCCCGCCCCATTCTCCTATTTTCCATCACTCCGCCCCATTCTCCCTCTTTCCATCACCCCGCCCCATTGTTGCGTTTTCCATCACCCTGCCCATTCTCCCTCTTTCCATTGCTCGTAGGTTTAATAGGTAGTAGTTTCTCAGCTTGCTCTAGAACCAGTTTGAGGGTCATTTGAGGTGGTCCAGTTTCAAATCCTATGATTCACTAACTTAGTTCTACAAAGAGGTAGCTTGTGCAGGCAAATATCCGGTCTGCCCTATTTTTCAGTCCTGTCATATTGGCACGCGTCTTGTAGCAATGGCATGCCGTTGTGGACTGAAGGCAAACCAGTGGTGTTCACAGTGGGAGAGGCTGCATGCTTATGGGTTGGAGTCACAAGAAGCTTTTCCATCTGCACTTGAAAGATGAGAAGGGGAAGACAAACAGGGCGAGACAAGCTGTGATAAGCCACAAGTTGTACAGCATCCCTGACAGGTTGGTGATCAGTTCCTGGTCTTGGCAAGCGTGGCTCTCACAGCACTGACCCGGGTGAGCAGTTGCTGCTGCTCTGCTGCCACATGCCGGCCCGCCTGCAGCGACTCCTCCAGTGACCCCAGCTGCACCCCCAGCTCGCCCACTGACGTCAGCAGCTCCTCTGCTATCACCTGCCGCTCCACCTGCCGCCTCATACGCCCCTCCCGCGCCACCACTTCCACCCCCCCCACATACGCCCCTCCCTCGCCACCTCCTACCACTGCATGCAACTCCACAGGCGACCCCTCTTGCTGCCTGCCGCCCTCACTCCCCACAACCCCCCTCAGAATCCGTTCCCGCTCCTCCGCTGCTGCTTCCACTGCCTCTTGCAACACCCTCTCCTGCTCCTTCCTCTCCTTCCCCCCCCCCTTCCTCCCACTGCCCTGCTCACTGGCCTCCACCACTGCTGTCACAGGGCTGCTGCGGGCAGTGGGGGCGGGAGGGGCGGGCGAGGGGGTGGCCATGTCGCGCCACACGGAGGACGCTATTGCCATCACTGCCGTCGCTGTCGCACCCGCTGCTGCCACCCCCACCTCCGCCATGCCCACAGCCACACTCACTCCCACGCCCCCCTCACTCCCCCCCTCCCGCCTCCTGCCCCCCGCCTCGACTGCCTTCCCCTGTCCCATCTCCACCCTCGCTCCATCGCCTCCCGCCTGCACCCCTGACCTCTCTGCACCACCCCCCACCACACGCCCAGCTTCTTTCTCCATCCCATCCTTCCTGCCCTCTACCTCCCTTTTTTCCCCATCTCTCTCATCCTTCCCACCTCCTCCCGTGGCCTCCTTACCCTCACCCGCCTCCGCCTCGCTGCCCACCACACCACGCCTCATGCCTGCATCCCCTTCACCCCCGCCGCGGCTCTTGTCGTCATCCAGCGACCGGGCGAGCCCGGCCACCAGCGACCCCAGCACGTACGCTGTCGCCACGTGCCCGCGCTTCACCGCCCCCGCCACATCCACTGGCCTGCTCCCCGCCCTCCCGCGTTCCCCCCTCGCCCTCACGCCTGCTCCCCTGCCCCTGCCGCTCTCCCCCTCTGCGCTCTCCGCGTCCCCCCTGCCTGCAACCTGCCCCGACTTGTCACCCGGTGCTGCCCGCCTTGCCTTGGCCCCGCCAGCAGTGGGGGCGTGCAGGGGGGGCTGGGGGTGGTGGGCGGTGGGAGGCGGCACCACGGCCTTGAGCGCATGCACCAGCAACCCCTTCCCCACCTCACTGCCCTCCTTCGCACCTCCTCCCTGTGCCGCTGCCTCCTTCCCTCCTCGCACATCCCCTCTTGCGTGGCCTGCCTCCCCTCGCCCTCTCACGCCGTCACTCCTCTCGCCTGCCTTGGCACCTCCTGCCGCCACCTCCACAGCACCCAGGCCTTTCTTCCGTCCCACGTCCTTGTGTCTCCCCCGCGCATCCTCCCCAACCTGCACCTTCTCCCCCTTCTCCCCATGCTCCCCCCGCTCCGCCCTCTCCGCCCTCTCCCCCTTGCCCGCGCGCCCAGCAGCAGCGCCACCAGCAGTGGGGGCAGCAGGGGGGGCCGCCATGCTGCGCCTGGCAGCAGCAGAGGGGGCAGTGGCGGGCGCAGCAGCAGCAGGGGCAGCGGTGGCGGGGGCGGACGCGGGCGTGGCGGAGGGGGGGGAGCGGGGGAGGCGGAAGGGTTGAGGGGAGTGCAGGGAGAAGAAGCGGTGGCGCAGGGCGCGGCCTGCTGATGGCCGCCCCATGCCAAACACTGGCGAGGGGGGAGGGGGGGAGGGGAGAGGCAGCGGAGGGCGAGAGGGAAGTTAGAGGGCGAGTGGCACATGCGTTTTAGCTCGCAATGAAAGTATACTCTAGTGTGATACAAGAGCATCTTGTGGGAGCTGGCGAAGGTTCACTGATGGCACTTCAACACGCACTCAATGCTCCATGCCACTCTCCACACAAACACAAACACAGGCAGTGTGGTTGAGGCACAACGCACCGCTGGGCCACACGGCGTGGTCGTGGTTGGGTCGCTTCTGCAGCAGCTGCTTTGCCAAGTCAAACGCCGCTCCGCCTGCCACACCACACACACACAAGCAGATGCGGGGGCAGGGGGGCGCAAGGCCGGAGGTCCAGGGAGGGGGATAGAGTAAGAGAGGATGGGCACTTGAGACGGTCATCGAAACCCACGGCAGATTCGTCTCAGCGCAGTGGCATGCTGTGCCATGATGTGCACACACACGGGTGAGGCGTGCATGGAGCATACCATGGGCGTCGAGCACGGCCATGTCAGCGCTGGCGGGGCGGAACTTCTTCCGCCACCTGCTCAGATCGTAGTCGCACCGCTTCAACTCGTTGTTGAACCCCTCCTGGTGGTCCCATCCCACCCCCGCATGCACGGCCCAGCACGTCACCCACGCACAGAGGCACATAACAGCACAGTGGACGCAGGCGTTGGGCACACAGCACAGACCCGCATAGCTTCAGAAAACAGGGCATGGCAGCGTATGGTGTGGCATGGGATCATGAGGCGGTGGGAGGCATGGGCGGGTGGGCAGGGTGGGCGGGTGCACTGACCAGGTTGGCTTCATGGCGCAGCGACTTGAGGGAGAGCTGCATCAGCACCACGCCCTGTGAGCATGGTGAGGAAGGAAGGACGAAATAGAGCAAGTTAGGCATTGCAAGGGGTAATTGGAATGAGGAATCAATCATACTGGCAGTGGGAAGAGAAGGTGAGGTTGCAGGGGCAGGACGTCCAGCAAGGGCAGCAGGGGGAAGGGCGTACAGCGGAGAAGACGTCAAAGCGGTCGGGGGAGTTGGCCACCCAGATGAACGGCGACAGCAGCGATGCCAGCGGGTCGGGCGGCAGGTGCGGCGTGGTGGCGGGCGGCATGACGAAGCGCTCGGGGGCGGCGTACTTGGGATCCATCACCGTCTCACTGGGCACCTGCGGGGGGGGGGGAGGGCAGCATGCGGACGGCACGGGTGAATAGAGTGCCGCTGCTGCATGAATGGGGACAAATAAGTACGGTGCACACACAAGATAGCACACGCACGCAGGGACGTATGTAGTCGCTGGCCACACAGTGAGGGACGTACATAGTTGCGGCCGGAGCGCAGGTCAACGCAGGCGCCGAGGTCGATGAGGCAGAGGTGGCGCTCGCCCTCGTCCACCACCAGGTTGGCCGGCTTCACGTCCCGGTGCACCACTCCTGTGCGCCCCCCATGCCGCACAGCATACATGGCACAGGGCACATGGCACAGGGCACATGGCACAGGGCACATGGCACATAACACACGGTGAATGGGGTGCACCACCAGGTTGGCCGGCTTCACGTCCCTGTGCAGTGCACCACTCCTGTGCGCCCCCCATGCCCATTCCACACACCCCGTGCACCGCGCACATGGCACGTGGCACATGGCACACAGCACATAGTACACGGTGAATGGGGTGCATGCGTGTGCATGGAGAAGATGGAGGGAGCAGCACGGCGACAAGCAAGAGAACATGGAAGAGGGGGGCTTCGGGGGACGGAAGGGGCACGGGGCGGACCTGCGTGGTGCAGGGCGCGGAGGTTGGAGAGGATCTGGCGCATGACGGTCTGCGCCACCTGCCACTCCACCCACATGCGCTGCTCCTCCGACCACCCCCCCGCGTCCCCCTGCACGCCCAGCAGCATGGCGGCCAGCGGTGCGGGGTACTGGCGGTCCTTGAGGTGGCGGTCCAGCGTGCTGTCGCCCTGGTGCTGCCACACCAGCCACACGCCCTGCCCGCCCGCCCCATGCCCCGTGCCATGCACCACACGCCATGCACCACACAGGGCAGGGAGAAGGGCAGCGGGGCCAGAGGCAGTAAATAGGCCACTCTTGGCACATGCAGAGAAGCGCCCACACATGCACAACGCGACACGAGAGGTGCGGGAGAGAGTGCGAATAGGTGGCATGCGGTGGTGAGCGCGTGATGACTCACCTCCTGCAGCTTGTTCCCCGGCTGCACCTCCATCGTCCCCAGGAACTTGGCCGCCACTCCTGGCACCGTACGCTGCATGCATGCATGCACACACGCATCCATGCACCCATGCACCCACGCACCCATGCACCCACGCACCCATGCACCCACGCACCCATGCACCCATGCACGCATGCACCCATCCAACCATGCACCCATCCAACCATGCACCCATCCAACCATGCAACCATGCACGCACAAGCTTGCAATCACGCGAACACAGACACTCGAATGGGATTGAGTAACCAGATAACCGTTCACACGAACACATCAGCGGGCAGTATCTATACGCGGTGCTGCAACTTATTCGCTGCCACATGAAGGCATGGTTGCTATCTGGGGCTTCATCACCGCACCTGCAGCCGGTGGTTCATGAACAGCTCACCTGCAGCCGGTGGTTCATGAACAGCTCACCTGCAGCCGGTGGTTCATGAACAGCTCACCTGCAGCCGGTGGTTCATGAACAGCTCACCTGCAGCCGGTGGTTCATGAACAGCTCACCTGCAGCCGGTGGTTCATGAACAGCTCACCTGCAGCCGGTGGTTCATGAACAGCTCCACGTCTTGCATCTCGTCCGCGCCCGCGCCCGCCGCCTTGCGCTTCACCACCACGCGCTGCGGCTGCCCGCGCGGCCCGGCGACGGTGGCCTCGTAGACCACGCCGAAGTTGCCGTGCCCCAGCTGTCGCCCCACCTTCACCTCCGAGGGGGAGAATCGCCTGGGGGTGGGAACACGCCATGGGGAGGGGCGTTTGGGGAGTCAAGGGAGGCGGCAGTGCGGCGTGGATTGCGGCGCGCTCGCCTCTCTGTGCGTGCCCGCCTCTCTGTGCGCGCTCGCCTCTCTGTGCGCGCTCGCCTCTCTGTGCGCGCTCGCCTCTCTGTGCGTGCCCGCCTCTCTGTGCGCGCTCGCCTCTCTGTGCGCGCTCGCCTCTCTGTGCGCGCTCGCCTCTCTGTGCGCGCTCGCCTCTCTGTGCGCGCTCGCCTCTCTGTGCGCGCTTGCCTCTCTTGCGGGCTCGCCTCTGTGTACCTGAATGTGACGGTGTGGTGTGACTGTACCTGAAGGTGACGGTGTGACTGTACCTGAAGGTGACGGTGTGGAGGGGCGCGACGAGGAAGTCGAGGAGGCCCATGGGGCCGGAGGGCGGCGCGGACGCGTACGCCAGCAGCAGCGCCACGGACGCGATCCACTCGCGCAACGCCACCTGCCACGCGCACCACCGCCCACGCGCACCCACCTCAGCACGTTAGTGCGCAAGCAAGAGGCGCAACGACGCGCGGATTGCGGATGAAGGGGACGGAAGGAGGAGAGGTGGGGGGGCGCGAGGGCACTCACGGGGTCGTCCAGTGGAATGCCGGCGGACGCCGCGAGCTGCGCCACCTCGTGATGCACGCTCGCTATAGTCACGTCCATGCCCAGCGGCACCCTGCGACGCACGAGGATGTGGGCACAGCGCAGGGGGGGGGGGGGGGGTGGGGTGGTGGCGACCGCAATGCCGGTGAGGCCACGAACACCACGTGAACGCAATGCCGATGCTGCGCGCCAAGCGACACGCGACCCGCCGAGCACTGGAAAATGATGGCGTACTCATCAGCTCCCCCCACCCGCATAAAGCGCTAATGGAAAGATGATGGCAGCGGGCGGCACTCACCCGTGCAGCAGCGCGTCCGCGAGTTGCCCGTACACCGCGCCCAGCCCGTCGAGCGCAGCCGCGGGAGGAGGTGCGCGGATGGGGCGGGATGGGCGGAGGCAAGGGTGGCGAGGCGCGGAGAGTCGGGGGCGGAGGAAGAGAGAGCCCGGGAGCGATGGACGGCCTACGGTACGCGCGCAGTGTGGTGCGGCTGAGAATGCGGCAGCCACGAGTGTTGGCGGACGGGGAGGGGAAGCGCCATGACATGGCGAGCCAACTGCGCTCATCGTGCTCCTTGGTGTCAGCTGAGCGCCCAACGTTGACGCTGCCATTTTTTCGTGGTATACAATTAAACGTTTAAAATTCACCGTCCACAATAGCATAGGACGGTGATCGACAAGCGTTTGAAATATCGCGACGGCAGCACAACAACTTTCTTGTGCTGCAAAATTACGTTTTTTCGACCAAGTGATGAGACGGTGGTTAGATCCTGTGTAGGTGAGCGCTGCGACCTCTCGATCAGAAGCAGCGGATTTGACTACAGCAACTGGAAACAGAACGCATGAAAGGGTTGGTTGATGGTCGCTGTCAACGGCAGTCCTGTCGCGTGCATCAAATTGGTGCGGGTTCGAGCAAGTTATCGTTACACCAGGTTCTCCTGCCCGCGCAATTCGTTGCACCCCAACTGGGTCTTGTCTCGGTCGCCGGTCATCTTCCCGCTAGCTGTGTCCATCCCGCCCCCCAAACCGTCTAATTTCCCTCCAGCCGTTCGCATCCCCGCCATGATCACCCGTGCGAAGCCCATTGCGCACTCTTTCCCACACGCGCAAGCCTTGGACGGGCGCACGCACAAGCTGGCCTGCTTCCTTGCCTAGTCAGCGCGACAGCTGACAGTGCTCTTTCCTCTCAGCGCTGCGCTTCTATTGGCCCAATGTTGGTGGGGTAACCATTGCAAATCGCCGCGTGTCGAAGTCGTGCTCCACTCGTGGATTCTTGCCGCGAAAAAAACCACATTCTGGTCACAATTCGTTGTTGGCGTCTTGTGTGAGACTTTGTTCCAGTAATACTCCATATTCCTAATTAGTCAGGATTACCGACGTGTATACATTAAAACGAATCAAATTTATGCAGAAATACATAAACGCTTTATTGAACTACAGCTTCCATTCGAGAGCATACCTATAGAGAAGATAACCAAAACACCTAAGCCTATCAACTAGCTCACAAGGCATGAGCCAAGTCATATACATGCTGGCATAGAAGACGTGCTGGAAAGAACTACACTGGTTGCTTAATCTCAATGTCGGGTTTCGGGACAACTTCATACAGCGTGATGCTGGTGAGGGAGATGGGGACAGCATTGATGGTGATGTCAGTGGAGTGGGACGTGGCGTTATCCGGCACTTGCACGTTCATCTGGTCGATCATCTCGTAGTCCTCCTTAATTGACGTGCGGTGCACGTGCACGAGCACAGGCACCGAGTGGTCAGCGGAGAGGAAGTCCTGCACGCGGAGGGTGAGCAGGAAGTCCTTGAACGACTGGTTGGTCACCAGGATGGTCAGGCGCTTGTGCCGGGGGCTGTACGCCGCCACCACCCCGTGCTCGCACTTGGTCACCATGCGCACAATGCGTGACTCCGGGGGCACCGCGCGAGTGAGGTGCTTCATCACGTAGTACTGCTTGCTGAATACCAGCTTCATGCTCTCCACGCTCTCTCCGCACTCCCCCTTAAACCGGAGGAGCCCCCACCCGTGGGTGTTTGGTTCCACGGCCATCCAGTAGTACCAGGCGGCCACCCCCATGATGTTGATGTGCTCCATGACGGTACGCGCCATGTACATGGCCAGCTGCAGGTCCGTGCCATAAATGTCAATGGGGCCCCACTCCGACTGCCACACCTCCTTGCCTATGCGCGCTGCCGACTCGCGCAGGTCTTTGTACTGCAGCCCGATCTGCCACGACTCGGGGAAGTGTTTCGACTGGTACCCGTGCACGCAGATGTGGTCCACCTTCTCCCACGTCTCGGGCCGCAGCGCCTCCGTGGGCGACTTGATGCTGCGCACCGTGTACGCCACCCACGAGTCCGCCACCGAGATGCGCGTCGGCAGCCCACTGGCCTGCAGCGCGTCCGCCAGCAGCGCTACCACCACGTCCACGTCGTTCACACTCACCGAGCACCCCTCGCGGTTCCTGCCCGCGCGCCACCAGCCCTCGAGCGCCTCGTTGAAGGGGTTGATGTGTTCAAAGGTGATGTTCCACGCGGGGTCGGAGTGGTACTGCTGCATCACGTCCACCAGGTACTGCACGAACGCCCCCCGCTGCTCCGGGCGCATGTTGGGGTCGCCGTGGTCGTTGCCCGCCGTGTCCCCACTGACGGTCATCCACCACGGCGGCGAGTACGAGATGGCCTCAAAGTGCTGCACGCCCAGCTGCTTCGCCGCCAGCATCACCTTGCGCTGCCCCGCGTCCGCCGACCAGTTGTAGGGCGCGAGGGGGCCCTCTTTGAAGGCGCGCATGGGGTGCTTGGTGCGCGCGATGGCGGGTGAGAACATGGCGTTGAAGCCGCCCGGGATGGCGTAGCGCGCCATGGAGAGCCCCAGCCCCCTGTCCGCGTGGAACACCAGCTCCACCAGCCGCCCCATGCACCACTCCGGTAGCCCGCCCGCCTGGTTCGCCCACCTGCGCGCGCCGGAGGGGGAGGGCGCGTGGGGGGGAGGAGAATGCAAGAGACAGGAGTGAGGGTTGGGGGAGGAAGTCGGTGGAGGGAAGTTTGTTGGGAGGCATGTTCATAAATTCATCATTCCCATGTACGACTTACCGTGCATCTCCGTGTCTCACCAAGCATCACCGTGTCTCACCGTGCATCACCGTGTCTCACCGTGCATCACCGTGTCTCACCATGCGAGCGAGGTGCCCCAGCCCTTCCACATGGTGGCGGTGAAGTTGGGTCGCACGTACACGTAGTCGTACCCTGCACGCACGCACGCACGCACGCACGCACCACACAGCCACGCCACGCATGTAAATCAGCCTTGTTTTCAATCTCAATGTCAACCAGCCATTGATTCTTCAACACACGTGCCAAGCGGCCGGCGACGAGAGAGGCGGGAGAGGCCCTGCAGGAGCGACCGGATTTGCGTGCGATCAAAGCTCTTACCCGATTTGCTCATCACACCATTTCTCAGATTACACTCGACTCCTCGTTCTACTTGTGTGTCGCACGGCGCTGGGCCTACCTTGGGTGTCGCACGTGTGGTATCGGTCCGTCTGCTTCTGCTGGTACAGCTCCGTCCAGTTGAACTGCCCCCACTCCCCCTCCCTCCCCTCGAATCGCGCCTGCGACGGGCGCGTGAGATTCGACAGCTCGGGCATGGGGATGGGGTCGTCAGCCGGCGTCGGCGGGACCGCAGGGGCGGGCGCGGGGGCCGCAAGAGCAGAATCGTTGGGCGGGGCGGCGGATTGGTTGAGCGAGATGATGGGATCTTTGGGCTGCAGTGGCATGGGAACGGCGGAGGTGTTGAGTTCAGAGGCAGTGCTCGCGGGGGACGCGGGGGAGGGCGAGGGCGAGGACGAGGAGGGCTTGAGGGCGAAGAGCAGCGCGACGAGTGTGGCGACGCCGACGACGAAGAGCAGCAGAATACCCGCCAGCGCCCACCGCCACCGGTGCTGCTGCTTCGGGTCGCCCGGCAGACACAGCATGCGGTCGCAGTCCGCGGACCCGCATGGCGGCGTGCACCCGCATCTCCTGGGGGAGCTGTTGTGCGCGGCTTGCGGCGACTCCGCCATTGCGGGAAACTCGCCATCAGGAGCAGCCGCCGCGTCGGCGAGAGGGGCTGTGGCATTGGAAGGGACCGCATCTTCTACAGTAACTACCGCATCGCCTTCCGCACTACTGGGCGGGTCGGCCATGATTGCACCTACCGATTCTAGTAACTACGGGGTGGACTTGCTGCGTGTCAAGGAAAATATTCAGAAGAGGCTAGCTGGTGGCATTAGCTCATACATGAGGGGGAAAGGATGATGTTGAATTTGGTTCGCAAGGAGCGCGGCAGATGCAACTCGTTCAGTGCGCGGTGAAGGAAAGAACGTGTTGGATTGCAAGTTGCAATTTGCAACTGGGTGTTGAGGGGAGGGGCGAATTCGACACACTGGAGGGGATCGCGGAGAATAGAGGGGGCGGGGTGGGTTTGGCGGGGAGGCGGACGGAGCAGTCAATCAAAGTGCTGGGCGGACTTGTGGTCGAGGAGGAAGGGGCGAAGCGTGGTACAGCGCTAGGTGGTTGCGCGGGGCTGGGCGGCGATGGAATTTGGCGGCTCTCGTGGCTCTGGGAAAGGGGAAACGCCATGCGTGCGACGGCTATTGGTTGGTGCGACGCCGAAGGTCCTTTTGCACCCTGCTTGGGTTTTGCAACCAGGTAGGCTTGGCCCCCCCGAACGAACATTCTTTACATCCATTGGTTATCGCAGCCTTGGACGTTTAGAGCCCCACCAGGTCTGTCGTGAAGGACTTGGCATGGCGACGCCGTCACCTTCGGGAGGTGGCGGTTTGGCGATGTTTATAGGGGTGTCGACTACACGGCTTCATTTATTGTGAAATGACTAAATCTTCAAAGCAGCACATTGATAAAATTGGGGGAGGTGCTTAGGATGCGGCACCTCCAGCACCGATCCTGTGATCGATCCTGCGCAGGATCAAATGTTTTAGGAGTTTTAAATGGTTTAAAAAGCTTTAAAGGCTTTCAGCAGGATTTCAGTACGGTTGAATCAGCGATCCTGCGATCGATCGTGCAAAATTGCTTGAGGTGCCGCGTCCTTGCCGTATATCAATATTGGTTCCTACTGGGTTTTGGCGCATTTTGTTGAACGTTACTGTTCAATACCTCTAACAGCGTTATTTGAGACTAAAAGGGGAAATATGTATCAAATTCTTTGAACACTCTGATCTTTGTTGTACCTTACGTGGTAGCTTGAATTCATTGCGTGGCGGCGCAAGCACAGTTTGTGTACACTGTGCACCACATCCCTCGTTAGAGGCACTACATCAATTGTGACTTTGACCTCGGCGAAGGACCAAATAGACAGCTCTGATACTTCATCGGTTGACATTGTCTCAACGGTTCTTTGGCCGTAAGTCAAATGGGTGGCTTCTGACAGTCGTCTAACACATTTCACCTCCCAATCTGTTCAGAGGTTCTGGTTGATCATGTTGAAAGAGAATAAGCTACCAGCAGGATCTAAGCTCACAACAACAAGCAGGAAGTTGGCACTCCCTGGTAAAGAAGAAACACTGCAGCAAGGGAGGGTTTGCTGTGCACCTCCAGTTTAACATCTTCTCTTGTTAAAACTAGTACTTTATTCAGGGACACATCATGCAGAGTGCAGCAGAGCAGGAGGCGGGCATCAGTAGCGTAGCCGGTCGACGCGCTGGCGGAGGTCCTTGGCGCGGCCGACAGCAATGCGGTTGGAGGGGTCGTACACCAGCGCTGTGTCGTACGCCTTGAGGGCGCGCGCCCACTCCTTCTGCCTCTCCAGCGCGTCCCCCAGGTTGTTCCATGCTGTCACGTACGCGGGCTGCAGGCTGACGGCCTTCTCATACGCCTTCACTGCCTCCTTCAGCTTCTCCTCACTGAAGTAGCTGAACCCCAGCGCGTTGTACACCTGCTCCCACCCACCGCAAGACCATGCCACAGGGCAAGGGGGGGGGGGGGGGGGGCGGGGGAAGGGCAGCAGGGAGTGGAGGCAGGGCAGCAGGGAGTGGGCAAGGCATGCAGCACGTGAGGAGCAGAGCAGACAAGCGAGCCTTCAAGCACAAGGTTTAGGTAGTGAGGTGAATTCTGGGCGCATGGGTGGGAGGGTGGGTTGAACGGTCAGTGGGGCTGCTGTGTGCAGGGGGGTATGTTCATGTGCATGTGCTTTCCATCAAACGCTTCGTTAATAATGTGTGGGGAAGGGGGGAAGAAAGTGGGGTGGAGCGCGTGTGTGTGTGTGTTCGTGCGCGCATGCTCGCATCGCATGTACATGCGAGCGTGTGCATGCAGGTGTTTGCGCGCGTGCATCCATCAGCCTGCATGCCCATGCCTGTAAACGTGCCACGACATGCTTGCGTTCTCATCAGGTATGCCATCCATGCCCCCCACTCCCGCCCCATTCCCTCTCCACCCCACCCACCCCCCCATCCCCCCGCACCTGCGCGAGTTCTTGTTCGTCGCCCTCCCACTTGGCGATGGCGAGCTCGAGGTACTTGTTGGCCACCACGAAGAACTTCTTGCGCAGCATGATGGCGCCCAGCTCGAAGTACTCCTCGCTCGACGCCTCACCCGACCGCACGCGATCCTGCCGCAACCATGCCACACGCGGGAGGGCGGAGGAGAGGGATCAAGTCGAGAGGTTCGAGTCCAAGGCCTTTGATTCCTGTTATGTGCCAGTTTCATCCTGTTCTCTAACCCAAATGTGTCCTTGCTGCCATGTTCCATCCCCCGACTCGCTCGTCCTTCCCCGCTATTGATGTTCGCCACATTCCCGTCGCCTGTGAAGGACATTCTAGCCTTGCCTCGTCCCATACTCTCTGCCCCCCTCCTCTTCCTCACGCGCATCTCCCGGCGTGGCCTCACCTGCAGTTCTTTGGCGGCGTTTTCGAGTTCGCGCTTCACGAGCACCTGGCGCACGACGAGGAAGGTGCCGAAGCCCAGCAGCGCCAGCAGCCCGCCCAGGTACAGAAACAGCACGCTGAACTCCAGCGGCGCCGCCTCCGCCACCTGCACCGCCGCGCCGCGCACGGGGGGACACGGGAGGGGCGCCGGTCATGCGTACGAAGGGTTATTCCGGTCCCACGAAACTAAAGCAGACGCATCGGCCCGCGATCTAAAGCAAGGATGAGAGACTGTGATAGATATGCACCCTACGCCAGCGGCCTGCGCACTCACCATGTCGTAGGCCGGGTTGAGAAACGCTAGCGGCAACGACACGTCCTCCGCCGCTCGAGCCATGTCTGCAGCGCAGCAGCCGTAGGGCACGCAGGATCGGGCATCAGATAGGCATTTAAGCAGAGGGCGGGGCTGCGACGAACCAGAACCAAGCGAGGGATCGAGAGAGGCGGGAAACGAGGGGCCATACGAGACGACGAAGAGATGAGCCGTCTGGTTGGTTCGCGGGAAATCAGAATGACGGGGAACGAGGACGCTCACCTGGTTCGAGGAGAGCCAGCGCAGCGGAGGCATGCGCGGCTGGCATCGCCATCGCGACTCGATGATCCCCCGTTCCTGCAGCCTTAAGCCCAGCTGGCACTCTACTGACGAGCATTCTCACGCGATCCGCTCGACATGGTTGTCTGGATAGCGGCTGCGCCATGCCAAGTCGTGGAATTTGACGCGTCGCATCGAGCGCCGCCACACTCTGCATTGTGGCAAGTTTTACGCTGCGGTTCTAAGGAGAAAATTTTGTTGAGCGGAACCAACCGTTGCTTGCAAGCTGATTGTGAGCGACGTGATGGTGATGAGGGATCCGTGCTAGTGCGTCGCTCACTGGCTTTTCAGCTTCTGGGCTGCGGGAAATTGTGAATCAGGATTCACGATTTGCTCTTCTTTACCCCTCTCTGGCCTAGAGAAGGTTGGATTTTGAAGAGAAATGTGTTTGGCTTGCCTGGTGGGTTGCCGCGCTCAGCGCAATATTTTTGGGGATTGCCAAATCCGATGGGACTCCACGTGGAGCCTCGGAAACGTCGTCAGCCACATCAGCAGGCACATTCTGATTTTACTAGAGGTTGCTTTTCTTCACAACATTATTGCGCATAAATCGCTTGTTTTAGCATTACTATATCGTGGAAGCGTCATATTTTTGAAACTTCAAATCGAAATCCCTCGTTTGTAGACAGATTTGAAAGCAGGCTTCCCTGGATACCTCCCTCCATCTCCCTCCTCCCCTTCACCACTCCGCTCCTCCCTAAACCTACACTCCCACTAGCTCTCTCGCCCTCTCGTTTCTAGGGTAACAAGTCCTAGACCCGTCCTTGGTCTGACTGCTAGGAGCCATGGCTGCGGAAGCGCACTTGGCTCACTCAATAGCAAGTGTAGGCTCGTCATTATTGCAAGAAATCTCTCCTGCTACTGCGTCTTTCGGTCAGTCACAAGGCTCGCGAGTGTCCGGGGTTTCGCCGTTAGAGCGTGGCCTGCAAAGGCTTAGCCTTCACTTGTCGGCGTCACGAACATTTATTCCCCGCGCGTCGGACAGCGGCGCATCGTTAGAAAATGCATCGGAAAATCAGGAATCGCCGGAGCATCAGGAGTCGGTGGACGCGGAATGGCCGCAGCTGCGGTCCATCAGCGTGGGGCTCGTCGACGACACTGTAGCCATGCTCGACCGGAAATGCGACTCGCGGGAGACGAAGGTGGTGCGGCTGCTGCTGGCGCTGGGGCTGGGCAAGCAGCAGGTGGCGCAGGCGATATCGAGCGACCCGGACGTGCTGCAGCTGAGCGTGGTGGACATTCTCGCGCGCCTGCGCGTGCTGCTCGACCTCGGCTCCTCGCTCGGCGAGGTCGCCTCGTCGCTCGTGCGCGAGCCGCGCTGGCTGCACAGCCCGGTGCAGCGCATTTACGACATGGTGGCGTACCTCGAGTCGCTGGGCGTGGAGCGCGACAAGGTGCACCGCGTGCTGCTGCGCTTCCCGCGCATCATGGAGCTCAGCGAGAGCGAGATCACGCCGTCGCTCGCCAAGCTGCAGTACATCGTCGGTGAGGGCCGCGACATCTACCGCATGATCGAGCGCCAGCCGCGCGTGCTGGGGCTGTCGCAGGCGCAGATCACGGAAACCGTGGAGGTGCTGAAGCAGTTCATCGCGGCCGAGCAGGTGGCGGACGTGCTGCTGAAGAAGCCGCTGGTGCTGCTCATGTCGCGTGACGCCATCGTGCAGCGCATCCAGTACCTCGCCTCCATCTTCCACAAGCACCGCCTCTCCAACGTCTTTAAAGTCGCGCCCGGACTCCTCACCATCGACACCAAGCGCCTCATGCGGCAGTACTCGCGCCTCGAGATGTTCCTCGACCCCGCCGCGACGGACAAGCTCGTGAACGCGTTCCCGCAGGCGCTCACGCTGAGCTGGGAGAAGGTGCTGCTGCCCAAGTTCCGCTTTCTTGAAGAGCTGGGGCTCGACCGCTTCGAAGTGCTCAACTTCCCCGCGTACCTTGGCTACTCGCTCGACTCGCGCATCCGCCCGCGCTGCGCCGTGCTGCTGGCGGCGGGGTACGCGATCCGCGCGCACGACGAGGTGATCACGACGGACAACGAGCGCCGCCTGCGCAAGTTCGGGCGGTCGCACCACGAGATCCTGCAGACGTTCGGGTCGCACGCCGTGTGCATCCAGCACATCGTGGGGCTCACCGACGCCGACTTCCACTCCCAGTTCGGCGTCTCCCCCTCCTCCGCCTCCGCCTCCTCTGCCTCCTCCTCCTTCTCCGCCTCCCCCGCCACTGCCTCGGCTAGTTGACACACAGGGGCACCCTTACTATTGCTGCAGTAGTCGCGGCTGGGGTCGGGCAGAAGCTGAGGCTGTGGCGCGGGTGGAGGGTGAAGTGGAGGGTGAGGGTGAAGCTGAAACAGGGATATGACAGGGGCATGGTGCATGGGCATGGCAGAGGTCTAGTTACACACCATGGCAGGACACCCCAAGCCTTGCCTGCTGAGGGTTATTGTGCCTCATTCCACTGAACAGCAGAGCTTGCTGTACTTGTGTTTCTTGGTAATCATGAGCTTGCATGCAGGTATTAGTGAGTCGGGTCCTCTCATTGCCTTCCATAGCTTCTCATTTCATCCTTCATTCTGTGGGACACACCGATGCAAATGGCTTGAGCCTTGCAGTGTTTTAGCATTAACATACATAGAGTGCCTAAACACAGGGCCACTGGCCACCTGGAGTGGCCTTATGAGCCCTACCACGCAGATATGAAGACACAGTCTATGCTTAAGACAAAACATGCGCCAGCCTCAAGTGCCAGCTTGTGTTAGCCCCAGCTGACAGCACTCGCACCTAAAGCATTCCACCCGAGTCCCTGCAGAGTGTTGTTACCACTGCCGTATGTGTTTCAAGGGGAGCTTGCATGCAGCCCCCGCAGGTGCCAGCGTTATTGCGAGGGGGTGCTGTTGAGCTCGTCAGGGGTGGGTGTGATGCGGCGGCTGAAGAGGCGCGACATGGGGCCCTTCTTGGCGGGCTTCTGAGCGGGCGGGGTCATCTCCCCCAGCTGCGGCGCCCAAGAGGGCACCTCTCCGTGGGCCAGGAAGTGCGCGATGACGGCGATGACGACGTGGTTGCGGAAGTAGCTACCGTGCGACAGCTCCACGTTGCCTGTCATGTCCTTGTACCGCTCCTCCAATGTCACACACACCACCTTCAACTCCCGCTCGAATGCCACTCTGCACGGGGGAAAGGGAGGGGCGTTGACAAGGAGGACGGGGGATAGGGAACAAGAGAGGCGCGGGTGAGATGGTGTGGGGATGTGGCAAGGGTGTGTGCATGCAGCGTGTGAGGAAGGTGTGTGCGCAGCGGTGCACGGTGGGTCACCTGGAGATGCGGGGGTTGTGTGCCATCTTATCGACTTGGTTCTTTAGCAGCGCCAGTGTCGTCGACTCCTCCGCCTTCCTCTCCAACTCCGCGTCATCCTGCCATGCATGCCATGCACATAACGAAAGAGGCGGGAGCAGTGAGAATGGTGGGGTTGAGTGCAGTGAGCATGAGGTGACATGCACACCCCCATTCTGGGTGCACACTTGAAAAGAAGGCATGAATGAAGGCACATGGATGCAGGGCGGCAGCAGTTACCCAGAGGAAGCGCCAGCGCTGCGCGATGGCGTGGGGGTCCACGAGCTGCGTGTGCGCCTCCATCAACGCCTCCTCCGTTGCCGCTGCCTCCCCTGGTATCACCGCTGCTCCATGCCACACACAGCGGAGGGGAGAGGAGAAGGGGGGGAGAAGGGGAGAAAGGAGGGGAAGAAAGGGGTGAGGGTGCATGCAGAGTGCAGTGGGAGGGGCAGCAAGGCAGGGCATGGAGACGGATGGAGTGTCAAGTGAGCGGCTGGAGGTGTGAGCGCAGGGGAAGGTGTGAGCGCAGGGGAAGGTGTGAGCACAGGGGAAGGTGTGGCAGAGCAGAGGGCGTGGTAGGAGGGGCGGGGGAAGGGCAAAGGCGCGAGTGTGGGGGCCGCGAGGAAGAGGAGGGGGGGGGTGTTTGTGTTGGTGGGAGACTGACATCGCTTGCGGAGGTCTTTGAGCTGGTCGAGCGTGGCGGCGGTGAGGATCTTCTGCACGTTCCAATGCGCTATGCTGTGCGTCGCTGGGGGCAGCCGCAGCCACTCCTCCACGTACACCTGCGCACAGTCCAACTCGTTCTGTGGCCCCATGCCATGCCATGCCGTGCCATGCCATGCCATCCAATGCCATGTCATGCCATTCAGCACACACACCCACAGCATGCCATGTGCAGTGCAGTGAGGAGAAGAAACTGATAGTGAGAAGGTGGAGAGAAGTGGAATGGCAGAAAGCTAGAGCAAGTCCGCAGTGACCTTCCTTGCCCCTTATAGCTCGCGGCCCAAATTGCACAAGTTCAGTAAGCTTGCGCAAGTCTGAAGGCTGGGTGGTTTGGGAAAGATGAGCAGGTGTTGGGAGGGACGCGTTGTCTGATTTCGCAACACTCAGGTGCTTTTTCGCCCAGTCAGCAAACTCTGGGGCCAGTAGCCTGTTTGAGATCTCGAGTCCCAAATTGCAGAAAGCTGAAACTTGAAGTTTTAGCCCTGTGTTAGGCCTCGACCAATAGAATTGCTTCATACATACTGTAACCAGAATTCGCCAGAATACAGCACCCAAAACGGATGTTGAGCAAGATTGGTAATCTTGCCCTGTGCGCCCCGTAATTTGGGCTTTGAGCTTTAAACTGGCATGTGTGCACATGCTGGCAGGGCAGGGCGCAGGATGCGTGGTGGCGGGGGCAGGGCGCAGGATGCGTGGTGGCGGGGGCAGGGCGCAGGATGCGTGGTGGCGGGGGCAGGGCGCAGGATGCGTGGTGGCGGGGGCAGGGCGGTGGTTACCTTCTGCAGGCCGAAGCCGAGGGTGATGAAGAGGCGCAGCAGCTGGTTGCAGAAGTAGGGCACGAGGAGGAAGTTGAGCAGCCACAGGATCATGTACGGCACCGCCAGCACCACCGTCCACAGCGCCACCCAGCAGTTGTTGTACAGGTTGGCCAGCGACACCAGCCATGTCTTGGCGGGGAAGGGGCGCAGCATGCGCCATGGGTCGGGCGTCAGCATGGTCTGGCGCACGCGGGCATGGCGTGTGGGGAATGGAGGATCGAGGGCATGGCGTGTGGGGAATGGAGGATTGAGGGGATGGGGTGTGGGGAATGGAGGATTGAGGGGATGGGGTGTGGGGAATGGAGGATCGAGGGCATGGCGTGTGGGGAATGGAGGATCGAGGGCATGGCGTGTGGGGAATGGAGGATTGAGGGGATGGGGTGTGGGGAATGGAGGATTGAGGGGATGGGGGATGCGCGGAGAGAAGAGGTGGCGCTGGAGGGGAGCGAGCATGGCGTTTGGGCTGGAAGTATGACCTGCGGCATGAGGTATGCGCACCTTGACCTGCGGCATGAGGTATGCGCACCTTGACCTGCGGCATGAGGTATGCGCGCACGAGGGGCTCCGTGGAGAGTGCGAGGGCGGCCTCGTCGAGCTTCCCTGCGTTGAGCACGAGCGCGCTCATGGCTGGGCTCCACGCCTTCTTCTCCGTGAAATACACGTTGCCGTCGCTGTACCGCTTGCTGCTCAACGTGTTGTACACCACCACCGCCACTGACACCAGTGCCACTGTTACCCAGAATGTGAGCTGCCCCCCGGCCATGAGGAAACAGGGTGAGGACAGGGAGGATTGAGTGAGTGTGGCGTATGGCTTGCCAGTTTGCACTGTACCGCTTGCTGCTCAACGTGTTGTACACCACCACTGCCACTGACACCACCGCCACTGTCACCCAGAATGTGAGCTGCGAGGCCCCGCGCACAGGCGAGCAGTGAGGAGAGGTGGTACAGAGGAAGGAGGCAGAGGGCGCAGGACGAGGGCAGGGAGGATTGAGCGAGTGTGGGATCTAGCTTGCCAGGCAGACTGGGATTGATGAGGCAGATCAGGCCGGCAGGCCGGCAGGCAGGCAGGCAGGCAGGCAGGCAGGCAGGCAGGCAGGCAGGCAGAGAGGGTGGTGGGAGATAGAGTGGGTTGGCAGGGTGTGGGGCTGACCTCGCCGCCGGTGAGGTCAGCGGTGTTGACCTCGTGGAAGATGGCGTACTTGACGGACACCACGGCGCCCACGATGACCACAAACACCAGCACGGAGAGGGCGAGGATGGTGCCCGCCATGGTGCGCGCGGCCTGCGGGTCCCAGTGCTTGGTGTAGAAGGGCGTCCCCAGGAACACCATTCGGCCTAAGCAGTTGGTGCTGCTGCTCCCCGCCCACTTCTTCCGCAGGTACTTGGCCTGCCGCACCCTGGGGGGAGGGAGTGGGGGACGGACAAGGGAAGGGGTACAGGGTTGCGGGGTTATGGCCGGTGGGTGGAGGAGATATGTGGGAGAGACAAAGGGAGTGACGAAGAGGGTGAGAAGAGGGAAAGAGGAGCAGAGAGTGGAGGGAGGTGGGGAGCGAGTGGAGGAGGCGGGCGGCCTTGAAGGACAGGAGTGAGGGGGAGCGGAGAAGGAGGGGTTCAGGGGGCGGCACTCGCTTGGGAAGGCCGAGAAGCGAGTCAACGCGTCGGAAGTAGGCGTAGGGGAAGGCGCCTAGCGCCTCGTCGCCCCGCCATGGCCGCTTCACCACCAGGAACGGCGCGAACGCCAGCATCCAGACCGCGCCCACTTTCACCTGCTGGTGCTCCTTTATGCTTCGGTACCCTTCAGCGTGCGCCTCCCAGAAGGCGGCGGTGATCTGGTCGTGGGAGGCGCGCGCAGGGTCGCGGGAGTCGCGGCGCAGCATGGAGAGGTACTTGGACACGGCCTTGAGCGCCACGTTGCCCCCGTGGCTGTGCGCCACCACGTGCACGCGCGCCGACGGGTCCGCGCGCCCCACCGCGTGGATCAGCTGCGCCAACGCTTTGCCCGCTGCGCCAGGGAGGGGGAAAGGAGGGGGGCCCGTGGTGGAATAGATGGGTTCGGGGGGGTAATGAGTGGCGGCATTGGCGGATAAGAGAGATGGTTTGCACGAGGACGAGCAAGCATGGCGTGCTGCCTTTGGCCGTGCCGTTCCCATCATCCTTGCCCCTTGCTGCTCACTGTACCTCGGGCATGCTCAAACCCCTACTCCCCGTCCCCCGGGCCACGTCCTCACTCCCCATTCCTCACAGGCGCGCTCACCCATCTTCCCCCCCAGGCGCGCTCACCCATCTTCCCCCCCAGGCGCGCTCACCCATCTTCCCCCCCAGGCGCGCTCACCCATCTTCCCCCCCAGGCGCGCTCACCCATCTTCCCCCCCAGGCGCGCTCACCACCGACGCGCGCCTCGTGCGTGTTGTGCCCCGACCAGTGGAAAGGGTACGGCACGTCCTCGCGCAGCCGCATGCCCGCGTGCGAGTCTGCGCGCGTGGGGAACGGGGAGGGGGGAGAGCGGGGGAGTGAGGGGGAGAGAGTGTAGGGCGGGGAAACGGATGGGAGAATGCGGGAGGTGAATAAGAGGGTCAACGGGTCGTCAGAGCCCCTATCGCTAACCTTGCAGCGCCCCTCTCCCCGCACCTCGCCCGCCAGCTTCCCCAAACCCCCACCTCCGTGCAATTCCCCCCGCCCCCTTCTCCCCCCCGCGCACCGGGCAGTTGGCGCCAGACGGCGTCGAAGCCGAGCGGCGTGCCCTTGAGGTCCTTGGCGATGAGGTGGCAGAAGTTGTCGGCGCGCTTCGCGTCCAGGAAGTACCACGGCGGCGGATTCCCCGCGGCGGGCGGCGAGTCGAACGTGCCGTGCACCACCAGCACGTAGTGCGTCTCGCGCGCCGGGTCTGCGGCCGCGGGACGGGTGGGGGACGTTGAAAAAGGGAAAGGGGACAAGGGGGGATTGAGGGAGGACGAGGGAGGGAAGGGATGGAGGGGAGGGGGGAGGGTGAGAAGAGGAAAGTTACGGGGTGAGGAAGATGGGGGTGAGGGGGACGGCGAACGGAAGGCGCGAATGCAAGAAGGCGCGAGGCGAGAGCGAGAGAGAGGCGAGCGGGTTAGACGGAGGGGATGGAGAAGGAAGGGCGCATGGCTGACCGTAGTCGGCGGGGGACGTGAAGAGTTGTCGCACGGTCGTGTAGCGCGCACTGGCTTCGATCGTCTGCTGCGACCGGACGAAAGGAAGAAAAGTGGGAGGGGGGGGGGGGGGGGGGGGGGGGGGGGGGTGGGGGGTGGGGGGGGGAGGGGGGGCGCAGGGGGGGCGGGAAAAAGAATGCTGGTGGCGCGAGTGAGTGAGCAGCGGTGGAGAAGACGAGTGGCACGTGAGGGGAGCGTGGGGGATGGAAGGAGCTACGCGCGCGGTGTGGCCACTCCTCTCCCGCAGTGACGCCATCCTCTTCCCTCGCAACCCACACTGGTAACTCTTCCCGCCCTTTCAGTCGTCCCCAACGTCGTGCCTTCCACTCGTCACGGACTAGTAGCACTCTGTCGTATGCGCTAGCCGCAGCTGCGCGTCCCATCGACGGCAGCGCTATCCCCGCTGCACTACGAGCACGCCGCAGTATCGCGTCCTATCGCCGCGCACAACCATCGCAGATTGCCTCTGTCCTACGACGCATGCGACGTGGACGACCCACCTTGCTGACCGATGCGTACTGCGACTCCTCGTCGTCGTCGTACGCATCGGCCACTTGGACCGATTCGTCCAGCGTCGATTCGCGCTGCGTGTCCGGTTCTGCGCCCATGTCGCTAGCAGAGGAACCGCGCAATCCGAATCTACTTAAAGGTGACGTGGGCCTCTGTTTGCAATGATGGCGATGCAGCGTCGCGAGCGGAAGTACAAAATAGCTAACACTCGTAGCCTCTAAATGCTTTTAGCGTGACCTAATAATCCACTTTGGTCCCGCCTTTCATCCAGCACAAGTCCTGTGCTGAAAATTCTGCCAGCCACACACGCAGTTGGCGCGAGATGTCGCGTTCAGTGGCGTTTCTTCCGCAGCTGTGCCCGCCTTGTTGTCGCGTTCAGTGGCTTGGGTTGGGTCAAGCAACCAGCGGTGCAGGCATTTCTGGGCTGGTTGAAAGGGGCGCAGAGTGCGGTGCAAGCATGTAACAGAAGCTGCGACTCGTAGGCCCATCGAGATCAGCCAATGGTGCCGTATCAACACCTGAAAGCGCAACATGAGCGCCACCCTGCGCTGCGGAGGCGGTACATCCTCAGCTCCGGGGAATGCGGATGGGACCATTTCACGACAACTGTAAGGAGTTTTCCGGATTCCTTACTGGGTCACACTGTACGCGTACAACTCCGACTTTCGGAAAACCAGGCTCGGCCCGCCGACCTCGCCTTCCGAGCCACCACCGCGTCGCTTTTGGGTTTTCCAACCCCGAACCTACACCCAACCATCCCGCGACCCCGCGACCTCGGCCTAGCTAACCTTGCTATATTATGCCTAGGCCTCGTTGTTCATTCAGACGTTGTAATCACTTCCGCACTATTGAGTTCTGCGCACTCTTTCCTTTCACAACTTATAACACTTGGTATCAGAGCCTAAAGTCCTAGGTTACCCTCGCGTTTCCGGGGTAGTTTGTAGAAGGGGAGCGATAGACTTGGTGGGCTGTTAAGCGGTCGGCCCGTGGAATAGATCTGATTATTCCACTCCGACTATGATAGCATTAACGCCTTCACCGAAGTCAGAAAAATCGCGAGCCACCCCCTGCCCGTTCGACGAAGCCTGAGGCACATGGAGCAGGCCGAGTTCAACGAGTTCATGCAACAGTTCCGTGCGATGCAGGCCAACTTGCAGGGTATGAATGCAGAGATGGAGCGTCTACGGAAGGAAAACGCCGAACTACACCAGGCGCGTGGTGAAGCGCGCCAGGAGTCGCCTGTCGTGGACGACGCAAGTAGCAGCACTACACCAGATGAGCGGGTCTGGAGCGAACTGGAAGGCGAGATGGATGCGGACGAGGCGAGGCAGGCGCAGCAGGAACAGTCGTCACAACAGTCGCGTGCAGTACCGCCACGTGCAGCAGCGACGACGACGGCGACGCCAGCAGCAACGCTAACGGCCCCGATGGCAGCAACGGCTTTCGTGAAATCAAGCCGACAAACCCGCCCTCGTTTAACCCGAGTGATAAGTTTGTCACTGTTTCTGCGTGGTTGTTCGGTGTGGAGGTGTTCTTTAATGCTGCTATGATTTATGACGACGCCACCGGCATTAATTTCGCAGTTTCACTGTTGCGAGGACCTGCGCTGGAGTGGTGGAGGCGAGCGCTGCAACACGAAGGGACTTCGGCAGGAACAGCACGTGCGAACGACGGGACTTCAACACCTGTCACGCATCAGGCAACATCGATTTTTGGGACGGCCACGACACGCATATGGAAGGAGTGGGGCGCCGCCTTGCAAACCAGATTCGAACACATATCCGCCTCGGACTCTGCTCGCATGCAGCTGCGTACCTAGAAGCAGCTGACTTCAGTCCAAGACTACACCAGCAAATTCTGCAACTTGGCGGACCAGGTGGACGACATGAGCGACGCAGAGCGGTTGGATCGCTACGCGGCGGGTGTCAGAATCCCAACCACTAGACCATTGGGATAAAAGGGCTTGTTAAGTAGCGGGTCAGTGCGCCCATAACCCCCCAGGCCAACGTGCCTGTAACCCTTCCCTAGGATCAATCGGGGATCACCAGTGGACCTCAGACACCCCCCCGCACTGGGATGCCCGAAGTGCATACACCGGAATTCGAACCCGAAACCTTCGCTCTGATACCATGTCAGAATCCCAACCACTAGACCATTGGGATAAAAGGGCTTGTTAAGTAGCGGGTCAATGCGCCCATAACCTCCCACGCCAACGTGCCTGTAACCCTTCCCTAGGATCAATCGGGGATCACCAGTGGACCTCAGACAGCGGGCCTGAAATACGAGATACAATACGAGGTCCGACGAACCCGGCCACGAAGCTTCAACAACGCCGTCCGGGAAGCCGAGTCAACGGATGCGCTGATGCAGTGGGCGAGATCGAGCTCCCGGGAGGGCCCTCGATTTCGTGGACCGACTCAGCAAGCCACGATCAACGGCGTGGATGCACCGAGCCGAGCCCTTGGGCCGTGCTTTTTATGCAACCAGCTGGGCCACCTGAAAAAAGACTGCCCGAGGCTTAAGCAGGGGAAGAAGAACGACGGAGAAGGGTCGGGAAAAGATACGAGTCAGTAGCAGACGGGCCACCTACTGACGAGACCCTATCGCCCGACAATCACCATCCACACCGGGTCGTGGTACCGATCAGAGCTATCGACCAGAACCGGACGAATAACGTGGGTGAACACGTGGACTACCATGTGCTGGTGGTAGGGAGGGTTAACGGCTATAAGATAAAAATCTTCGTTGACGGTGGGGCGAGCCACAGTCTCGTCAACCTGGCAACGGCCAAAAAAATTGGGGTGAAGTTGACCAGGTGTCTGCCGAAGATCGATGCAAGGTTGGTGGACAGAACACCGTTGGCCATCCGAGATGAGGCGCAAAAAATTCGGATACAGTGCAGCGACAATTTCGGGTTTGGCATGAAAATGTTGGCGACGACGTTGGACGGCTGCGACGTGCTGCTGGGGAGGGATTGGCTACAGCGTTTCAATCCGACGATCGACTGGACGACTGGGACGTGCGTCGTGCGAGGATACGGAGGGAAGACGACGCTTCCGAAATGGACGGAGCCGGAGCCGGTGACGACACGTGTCAACGCGGTCAACATGCAGCGTGCGATGAACGGCGGAGCTCAGGCCTTCTTGGTGCATCTGTACGAGGTGGCAGCTTCCGAAAAAATCGCGGACATCGACACCCTCTACGCGGCAGTCCCCGAGGAATTGGCGAGCATCATTCGGAGGTATCCCGAAATTTTCGCGGATGACCTCCCGGATGGCTTGCCCCCCCAACGACCTGAAGACCATCGGATCCAGCTGGAGCCACGGGCGCAACCCACTGTTCGGTCACAGTGGCGGCTCAGCCAACCAGAGCTCGCCGAATTGCGAGCCCAGCTGGATTACCTGCTCGTCAAGGGATTTATCCGACCCAGCACGTCGCCGTATGCAGCACCGATACTGTTCACGCCGAAGAAGGACGGTGGCCTACGCATGTGCATTGATTATCGGGCGCTGAATCGGGTCACGATAAAGTCGCGTTACCCGATCCCACGAACCGACGATCTGCTGGATCAACTTCGCGGAGCTCGGTATTTTTCGAAAATCGACCTGCGAGGAGGCTACCACCAAATTCGCGTGTTCGCCAACGACTGCCCGAAGACCGCTTTTCGCACACGCTACGGCAGTTACGAGTTCACAGTGATGTCGTTCGGCCTGACAAACGCGCCCTCGACGTTCCAGCTCACCATGAATGGAATTTTTCGAGACATGCTGGACAAGAAGGTCATCGTGTACCTGGACGATATCCTGGTGTACAGCGCGACAAAAGAAGACCATCTGCAGGATTTAGAGGAGGTGTTCCGGCGTTTACAAGGGCATCGGCTAATTACAAAGGGGTCTAAGTGCGAGTTTCTGAAGCCAGAATTGGAATTTTTGGGACATGTGGTCTCTGGCGACGGGATTAAAATCGACCCGCGTAAAGGGGACGCCATCGTTAAGTGGAAACCACCTACTAATATCCCTGAGTTGCAAAGTTTTTTGGGGTTTGTTAACTACGTCCGTCGTTTTGTACCTAACATGGCAGGGATAACCAAGCCGCTGACCGACCTGCTGCATCACTACAGTAATTTTCGGTGGGGGGAGAGGGAGCAATCCGCCTTCGACGCTCTCAAAAACATTTTGGGTTCACCCCCGGTACTCCGCCTCGCCGACCCATCTCGACCGTTCGAAGTCGTCACGGACGCCAGCGATTTCGCCGTCGGCGCCGTCCTACTACAGGATTTCGGCCAAGGGCTGCAACCCATCGCCTACGAGTCACGCAAGATGCAGCCACCCGAGCGTAACTACCCAGTCCACGACAAAGAGATGCTGGCCATCGTTCATGCATTTCGTGTCTGGCGCTGCTACCTCACGGGAGCCGATGTGACAATTCGGACCGACCACAAGTCACTACAGTACATGCGCACACAACCGACACTCAACCCGCGACAAATTCGGTGGTTGGAATTCCTCGAGTCCAATTTCCGGTACACCATCACGTACAAAAAGGGCGCCAACAACATCGCCGACGCCCTTACCCGACCAACCATGCAAAACGCGGCGGTACTAATCGCCCACACTAACCCGATGCTGACGGGACTATTCACCCACGGCTACAAGATCGACAGGTTTTTTCGGAACCCGCAACAACAGGCTGCTACACCGCACGGCAAATACTACCTAAAAGCCGGTACGAACCGGATTTGGGTACCAGCATACCAGCCTTTACGAGAGCTGCTGACGCAGGAGGTTCACCAACCTTTCCGGGCATTTCGGCACCGATAAAACACTGAAGCTGCTGCAGCGGAATTATTACTGGCCGGACATGCAGACCGATGTACAGCGCTACGTATCAACTTGCACGACCTGCCAAGCAATGAAGTCGTCGCGACAACGGCCAGCTGGACTGCTGCAACCCCTCGCGCCACCCGAACGACCGTGGCAACAGGTGACGATGGATTTCGTCACGGGGCTCCCAGCTGGCGCAAGTGGCAACGACTCGGTGCTAGTCATCGTCGATCGCCTAACGAAGATGGCGCATTTTGCCCCATGCCGAACGACGATCACAGCCGAAGATACAGCCAAACTGTTCATCTCCGCCGTCGTACGCCTACACGGGTTACCTTCGGCGATCATCAGCGATCGTGATCCGAAATTTACGTCGAAATTCTGGCAGGAAACGTGGGCACAGTACGGTACCCGCCTGCAGTTTTCGTCGTCATACCACCCGCAGACCGACGGACAGACGGAACGGACAAATCAGACCATGGAGCAGCTGATTCGCACCAACTGCCCCGACATTCGCAGGTGGGAAGATTCGCTGCCGATGCTGGAATTCGCGTACAACAACGCCCCATCGGCCACGACTAAACAATCACCCTTTTTCTTGAATTACGGGATAGACCCCGTGGTTCCCTCTTCCACGACTGTGGACAACCCGGTACCAAGATCGCAGCAGTTTGTCACGGAACTGCAAACCGCCCGGACGAAAGCAGCCGAGTTCATTCGCAAGGCTAATACCACGGCCAGTCGTCAGGCGGACAAACACCGACGGAATTTACCCTTCCGCCCGGGGCAGGTTGTACTTCTGGACACCAAGAACCTTCGGCTGCCGCAGCCCGCGAAATTACGGCCCCGCTACGTGGGACCTTTTCGGATCATCCAGATGGTGACACCTGTCACCGCGAAGCAGCTGCTGCCCGACGATTGGAAGATACATGACGCCTTCCACGTCAGCCTGTTGCGTCACTACGAACAGCCGCAGTCGCCAGCTGTTGCTCGACCGACCCTCGCGCCGACCACTTGCCCCGTGGCAGAGCCCACGCTGGAACCCTGGAAATTTCTCAACCATCGCGTGGACGTGACTGCTGCCGGCCGCTCAGTGAAATTGCTGCTTCGCTGGAAAGACCGCACGAGCGAGGACGACACGTATGTCGCTGCTGACTCGCTTCTGGGACACCCGGTTTTGGACGCTTACCTCGCCCGCCGAGGTGTTTCGGATATTCACCACCTTTCTTGAAGGGGGGGGGTAGTGTAAAGAATTTTCCGGATTCCTTACTGGGTCACACTGTACGCGTACAACTCCGACTTTCGGAAAACCAGGCTCGGCCCGCCGACCTCGCCTTCCGAGCCACCACCGCGTCGCTTTTGGGTTTTCCAACCCCGAACCTACACCCAACCATCCCGCGACCCCCGCGACCTCGGCCTAGCTAACCTTGTTATATTATGCCTAGGCCTCGTTGTTCATTCAGACGTTGTAATCACTTCCGCACTATTGAGTTCTGCGCACTCTTTCCTTTCACAACTTATAACAACAACCATCAGGTGAAGTACATGAGAGCTTCAAACATGTACATACATTGAGAGTATAAAATACTAGAATCGACGGTATACATACGGTCCAATGAAACATCGATAAAGAGATGTGTACCAATAATCTGTAGTTGCTGCTGTGAATGTCGAGTACAGAATTCAGAGTCTTCCTCTTTCCCCCCGCTCGCGTCGCAGACTCAGAGCCATCGCCGTGTCGCTTCAGGGATTGGCTTTGGGTGGAACGGGTGGCATTTCCCGCTGCATTTTTATATTTTGCGCCTCGACTCACCACTTGAATTCACATTTCCTGGTCAAGGCAGGGCGTGTGTTTTGTTCTCACTACATGGTTACGCAAAAACACTCGTGTTCACAATCATTGAGAAACGCCTGCTCCAGTTAGTAAGCACAATCGAAGTCGAGAATCCTCTCGCGCCTTCCAGTCAACCTTAAACGAAGGCCTCGTCTTTGGCCAATTACCTGGATTAATTTTCATGGCACTGCTAAGACGAAGATGTGTAGTCTACGTACTGGCGTCATTCATCCTCGTTGCGTTGATAACAACAACTCACGCCGCTTTCTGCGATACCTTTATAGCGCAGTTTCCTAATCGATGCCCGATAACATCGACGGTCGACTCGTTGGACTTGGAGAAATTCACGGTAGGCGTGATGGGGTTCGACGAAGCCATGGCAGGGAGGTGTTACTTGCTGAGTGTGAGCAATCTCGTGGTTCTTTCCATTTCCCAGTCATTCCCAGCCAGTCACATTCTCTCGTTCTCCAGTTTTTCCCAGTCTGATAACGCGTGGCACTTTCTGTGACCGCAGGGCGCGTGGTTCGAGGTGGGAAGCAGCGCGCTGCACAAATTCAGCACGGCGAGCGGCCTGTCGTGCAACGCCGCCAAGTACTCCGCGCTCGCCACCGCCACTGACGGCAGCAACGTCGCTGGGTAAGCTCCGAGCCTGCGCATCCCCTGCTTGCGCGAGTCGGGAAACAAAGAAGCGTGAGCTTTCGCAGGAAGGCTATCTGCAGCAATCCCTCCCAAATGCCATCTCCCAACTCGCGCCACTGCCCTCGTCCTTTGCGCCCCCCTTGCCGCGACCAGGTTTCTCAGTCGCGGCCTTCGCACCGTCAGTCCGTTACGAGCCGATCAGGTGCGCCACACTACGACCCGCCCAGCGTCCAACGCGTTCGTGCAAGGCATGCTCTCCCGATCACTTAGTTGCCCGTCGTCAGACATGCCCTCCGCCACTGCTCCCCGCACTCATCCCCCCCTCTTCCTTCCCCCGCTCAGGTGTGGCGCATATCCGCAGCAGCAGGGCGCATCTCGCGCAACCTGCGCCGTGTGTGCGAGGCGGCCGTTTACAGCGCCAGGGCGCACGCGTCCCTGCAGGCGATGCTTGTGCCGGGGCCTCAGGGGGTGGGTGGCGGGGTAAACAGCAGCGGGACTACGCCCACTAGTGACAGCAGCAGTAACAGCACGAGCCCGTTTTCCCAGCAAGCCAACGGAACTGCGCTTGCAGCTGTGGGCATACTGGCTGCGTCTGGCGCCACCCTGTCACAGCAGGCCCTCGCGATCTACAATCAGCTGGGAGCGCTGCAGCAGCATAACAACCGCGCCAGCACATTCAACGACCCGCAGGACCCCGGGCTGGACGTCACGAAGCAAGGGCTCGCAGACGCAGCCAACCGCATCATTGCTGCTGCTGGAAGGGCTCAGCGCGCAGGGATGAGGGGAAGCCTGGCGGTGCTGCAGATGCAGCTCATGCTGCCCGCTGCCAACAGCAGTGCCGCCACCCGGTTCACATCCCGGCTCTCTGGTTTCCTGGGGCGCGCGTCTTGGGAACTGGGAGTGAGAGGGAAGGTGGGCCTGGCGACGACTGTGATTCGCCTGCTGGCGGCGTCGGTGCTCGTGCCCTCCCTCACCATGTTCCCATCGCCCTTCCCCTGGAATTCCCAGACCCAGCTGCGCATGCAAGCCGTGCAAGACAGGAAGCAGGTGAGATGCGGGGCGGGACGTCAATTCATTGCTATGATCATTGACTGAGGATAGCCCACATGCTACTGTCACTTCCTTCAATATAAGCTCTTGTGTGTCTCACCTTGCTGCTCTTGGACAGCCTGGGAAGTTTGCAGTGAGCCTCTTTGGATTCGCTCGGAATAACAACTACCTGATCAACAAGCTTGAAGGGAACGCAGATTCCGAGTACAACATGGCCACCATTGTGTCGTTTGTGATGGCGGCCAGGTGAGGAAATGGGAATACAACCCTAAACCCAATGTGTTCCAGCCTTTCCAGAGCTATTGGCAACGAACTGCAGTTGTATATTTCTAAGCCAATGTTCTTTCATCTGGTGCTCTGTGCCCAGTTCTCAGTATCCATACTGGCGCGCACAACATCAGTTGGTCAATCGGAGATTGACGCCCGACTTTCCCAACTGGAAACACAAGGCATTGTACTAGGGGAGCAAACATCTTCATCAAGGCAAATCAAGACGAAGCGGTGTGCAACACTTTGTGGGGAAACTGACCATCATGAATAGTTCAAGGTTGTGACCTTGTAAGTAGAACTAACCAGCACAACTAAAGTTGAAGCATGCATTAGAATGATTAGCTCATCTTGTTGCTAGCTTCAATATTGATAGGATGTGACATTGTACTGTCTGATGTATCCACTTCTTGTGGCTTTGTGATTAATGGACTACAAAGCAAAATCTCGATAATCTATATTGGTACTTAGAACGCCCCGTTTCTAGACAAACAATAGCTCGATTCTTGGTTGTTCTAATGCGGATGAAAGTTACACGGCCGCCGTTTTCGTTTACCTGCCATGTTCGCGTCCAGGTGATTCGAAACGATCACTCACGCATGCCGACGCGTGAATCCACGACGCGCGTTTTCAAGGCGCGCATGTAACAACCGCGTCGCACTCATCACAATTTCGAATTCCCAACGCTGTCCTTCTCAATTGGAATTTGGCGCACTAGCAGTTCTTGCCCCGCCAATGTCGCCTCCGCCCGCACCAAGCACCTTGAGAATGACGCCCCTAGATCAGCCAACTCTGCTTTGCTAATCCACTTTCCATCACGTTGACTCTCCTAGCCGACAAAGCATTCAGATTCAGAAGTCCGCATTCGTCGATGAGACGTCCTTGCACCTCATCACTAAGTTCAATCGCGTAGAAGCATTGAGGTGGTTCATGCAGATAGGTTGGCGAGATAGATCATAACGATAGCGTATTGCCTGTTTCTGGTGTTGAAGGTGACATGTTTCACCTCGCATTTTTTCTAAACCGGCGTAGTTGAGCCTATCTCAGTCTATTATTAACCGGCGTAGTTAAGTGTTACCCGACACATCCAGTACTGAAGCCTTTGTGCTGAACTGCATCAAGACGTGTCAGCAGCAATATCCTGTCCCGCCTAGCCACGCGTCATCGTCAACCCCTCCTGACATCCACCATGGAAAATCACCTATAGAGTAGGCCGCGGCAGCCGCCTGGCTGCTGTGCTAGCGTGCGTCGCGGTGTGGTGCGCGGCGTGGCAGCGCGCGCGAGCGGGGGACACATACTTCTGCCAGGAGCTGGTGAAGGAGACGGGTGGGGGCGTGCCCCGACGTGCAGACGAGCAACACGTTCATGGCGGAGTTTTTCCAGGTACCCGTGCGCGCGCCTCTAGGCGGGTACACGTGAAATTCATGCATAGTTACTGCGCCATTCCAGTTCGGCCTTCCAATCGCGCTCTGCCCATGGGCCTTTAACTCTTGTACCGGTCGTCCCTCATATTGCTGGTCGAACAAGTTGCTGACTATGACACCGCGTCTACCAACGCGCTGTCTTCGTGCCGTTCAATAGCACTGCAGTCGATACAGCTGGTTAAGAAACCGTCAATTTTTAGCCCCACCGACCCAAACTCGTCTTGGCATAGCCTTCTATCACATTCCCTCCGGTGTGTTTCGTGGGAATTTGTCAAGACACCAGCGTTCAAGCGTTTCAGCCTCCAGGTTTTGACGAATTTGAGTGTCCGTGGTATTGCTACAGGGCAAGTGGTACGAGATCGGGTCGACGGCGGAGTCGAAGCTGGAAGTG